CGGTTGTCAGTACCGCGGCGACCAAATACACCTGTCCATATTTTGTACTCGACGCGCACCTTGGCGCTCAGGTCGGCTCTGATGACTGTTAGCAAGCAAGCAGCCTTAAAGCGTTAACAGCCGAGTGCATGCAGTCACAGAAAGCGTCTTCGTCGCGGGAACGCAACACATTTGCCAGCTCCGACGCGGCAGTGACATTCACGCGACATACCAGGATTCTCTCTGATACCTGGTTCATAAAAACAGCCGTCCGACCCAACTGTGGACATGAGGATTCCCACAACGGCACGGTGTACTGTAATATGGCCTAACCACTAAAATGCCGCCTATTTTATCGGCCAACGTCTCGGTCCCTCAGCGGCGAGCTTTAGCTTCCAGGACCGCCAGCACACCAAGTTTGTACAGTTAACTTACCTTCATCGGACAAGGAACGAAGGTTCTAACAGCCAACACGGAACTTACGTCTTGTAGTGATGACCGCTGATCACGGATTTCTGGGTCCCTTCTCGTCTGACAAGTACGAGCGTGAAGCGCTCGTTGGGCAACTCATTCCGGAGAGAGCAATAAATTCGCTTTCGTTCAGCAAAACTCAAAAATCAACCTGACAACCCGGTTAGCGCAGAAATATCTCGTCCGAAGGCCTACCTGACTTTGACTAAGTCTCTCATCAACTCTCTGTTTCAATCTTTCCAGAACAGTGCAGTAGAAGAGTTCTCCGCGAGTTGACAGTTGCGTGATACTACGGTCGCCCGATACCGTTTATAAACAAGGGAACAATTATTCCACAGTTTCATTTTACAGGGAAAGTTTTTGAGGTTCACTACTGGTGAACAGTCCAGGGATCATTTCTGTAATTCTCGTTCCTCCAAATGTTATTAACTGTGCGGGGTTTGATCCGCTTTACTTTACAGTATGTCTTATGACCACATCGATCAACGAATACTCTATTTCCACGTATATTCGTCGATACGATATTCCTACGCACAACATAAACGGTCATAACCGCCCGTCGATGACATCGTACATCGGACCAGTTTTCTACAGACGCGTATCCAAATGGTTATCGTCGTCTTCACTGACTGCATCTGCAACCCGTCTAGGAGCGGAGCTCGGCTATATTTAACCGTATGTTTGTCAAAGAACCCAACCGAGAATTAGAAAATCGCAGGCAAAGGCAATCCTTTTTGTTACCTGGATGATCGATAACTCTTCTTTGATTTGTGCACTCACGTTGCCATGTCTGT